TTGGAAGGAAAAATCCGTGGTTGGTGTGGGGGGGAGGGCGGGGGCGGCGGGGGGAACATCGCCGGGAGGATGGCGGCGGCTGCGCGGAAGGCTGGGGCTCCGCCGGCCTGGAAGGATTGGATCAAACAGGTGAGATGCACGGTCGTGTGTGACTTAGGCGTGGTGGCGGGGGATGGTGGCGGCGATGGTCATGTTTTCAGTCTTTGTGTCAGCGGCTCAACCTGTGCAGTCATATGTATGGGGCGATCGTAGGAGTGCAACCAAGAGTCGGTGTTGTGGCGATGGTGGCACGCTGTGCGAGGCAACTCTTGTTATACTTCCATGGATACGTTTTTTTTTTGTTGTGTCATGATGGAAGTGGGCAGAGACGTGCAAGGACCGATCGCAGCTGTTATACAGTAGCGCCCTTCCTTCTTCCCTGGTTTATCTCATCTCCATGGATTTCTCTGCTGGCTGTGCGAGGAAACACTTCTGGTGCTTCCATGGATACGCAGTTTTTTTTTTTATCCTGATGGAAAGTGGACAGCCGTACGTGCAAGAACCAAGTCCAGCGTTACAATAGTGCCCTTCCTTATTCCCCTGTTTACCTTGTCTCCGTGAATTGATCTCTGCTCGGAACGCATTCCGTGAAACATGAAACACAACCACACCACACAGGCAGAAGTGATGGGATCGCGGGCGGCATGGGCTCTTGGTGAATGGCCCGCCCTCGAGATGTTCGTAAGGGGGGAGCACATGCAAGAGCGGCGGCACGTGGTGGAAGAAGGGCAGGGGGTGGAGGCTTGCCTGGTGCTGGAGGCGGTGGTCGCGACTCAGAAAGGCCGCCTCGATGAGGTGATGCTGTTGTTTTGGTTGTTGTTGGTGGTGGTGGTGGTGTTGCTGCTGTTACGGTACTGCTGTTGCTGTTGCTGTTGCTGCTGCTGTTGCTACTGCTGCTGTTTTTGCTGCTGATGTTGCAGCGTTTCGTTCTGCTCTTGCACTCTATAGTTGGCAACAAACCGGAATCAGCTGTAGTCATTTCTGATGGTGCCGCTGCTGCTGCTGCCATTCGTTCTGCTCTTGCACTCTGTATTTGGCAATAAACCGGAATCAGCTGTATTCGGTGCCGCTGCTGTTGCTTATGCTGCTGCTGGGTCATGTTTTTGCTCATGCGAGGTTTCGATGTACTGAAGCATTTTATCAACGGAGAGAGAAAAATCGTTTCATTTTTTTTTTCTTTGTTCTGCAGGCACTAACCCTAATCGAGGAGGCGAGGCAGGCGCTAGCCCCGGGCCTCGCGGCCCTGCTGAGCGAGAGCTACACACGATCTTACAAGCGGATGCTGACGATCATGTCTCTGGCGGAGCTGGAAGAAGTCGTGGAGTACAAGAGGTTCGTTCGTTCGTTCGTTCGTTCGTTCGTTTTTTTTTTTTTTTTAGGGGTAGTCATCCTGGTAAGGGGTATAAACTTGACATGCCACAGAATAACTCCATCCAATCCCTTGTGTGCCTCTTGTTGCTGTCTCTCTCTATGGCTGGTGGCGTGGTGTGGTGCTTGGACCTGCCTGTAGTCTGACAACCCTAACACCACCGGCCGATCAATCGTCCCGGTATCTTTACGCCTTCCCCCTCCTCTATAATAGTCCTGCATGTATCGTACCCGCACGCGCCGCGATTTTTTCTCTCCACCCACCTCGGTCGTGATTAATCCCCGCACTGTGTGTTTTGAGTATCTTCACTCTCTCTGGCCCGTACCCCTGACCCTTCACCACCATCCCGACAACATTAACATTCCCCTGCTGCTGCTGCTGCTGCTGCTGCTGTGCTTGCTGCGGCTATCTTGACGGTTGTCCAGGGTCGTCAAGGATGCGCGGTCGTTGGGGACCCCACCCGTGAAGGGGGAGGGGATGGAAGGCAGCGAACGGTCGAGAAGGTGATGCCGCGCTTCGTGAAATATGCCCTCCCGGGGTCGCACACAGAGGGCGAAATGCCACGCGCGCACACACACCAAGTTTTTTTTATTTGTCCGCGTTCCGTTTTTTGAGGCTAAGTGTGTTTGTGTTTTTTTTTTCGCGCCGGTGGTGTTTGGTGTGCTTCGTGTGTTGTCTACTCCTGTAGTCCGTTGTCTACTGCTGTAGTCCGCGAAGCTGATTCCGTTTACACTGAAATAACCCACTGCACGCATTCGCCTACATACCCTGTCGTTTGTCACTCTAGTGCAGGAGTACAGTGTTCAGCCCTCTTCTTTTTTTTTTTTGTAATTTTCGTGCCGTAGTCCATCTTCTCTTGCATCATATCTCTCTTTATCATGGGGGAAATCCCGTGATGCCCTTATCTCATGCCGTTTTATCTCGTGCCGTCTCCTCGGGAAGGTGGTCGGAGGTGGCGGAGCACAGGAGCAATCTCCGCGCCAAGTGGACCGCTCGTCTGCAATGGGTGCCGGAGGACGTGGACGTCTGGAGAGGCATCCTGGCCGTGCGGTCGCTTGTCCTGAAGCCCCGAGAGGTGAAGAAACAACCGTTTTTTTTTTTTTTTCTGCGACGAATGAGGGGTGGGGGGGTACTGTTATGTTTTGCATGCCTTGGCGGTTAGACCATTGACCTCGCGTCCTCGGGAGGACGGGGGGTTGTTCCCACAGGACTGGGGGAGGAGGGGTGCTCATGTTTTGCATGAGGGGGAGGCCAAAGGGGGGGAGGGGGGGACTATGTCGTGATTTTTTCTTTTGTGCCACCAAGGAAGGGCGGGGGGTGTACTCACGCATGCCGCGGTCGGTAGACCATAGACCTCGCATATTGCCGGGACGGAGCCATGTGCCGGGTTGCCCTTCCTTGGCTACGTTTCACAAGGATGATTCAGAAGCTGAAGCTGGCCAATCACCCTTGCGTTTGCTGTTCCAAACTAGATAGCCATTGGTTGATTGGGCATCCCGGCTAACCGGCGGTGGGGATGGAGGGGGGAGGCGGAAGTAGTATTTTTTTTGTGCCGCCGAGGAGGGATGCACGTGGGCAGATCGTGTCCACAAGAGTGTATCATGTGATTCACTCGACTCTCACTTGGCTGGATCGTGTGATGCGGGAGGGAGATGGCAGAGGCTACAACCGTGTGTTGAGTGAGAAAGCCTACACGAAACAACCCAGCGGCAGCAGCAGCAGCATTAGTGGCAGAAGCAGCAAACAACGGATTAAATGATACTTGGTAGTGTCAACAAGAAACAACAATAGCAGTAGCAACAACGCAACGATAGCGACGACGACGATGCCTTTCCTTCGCAGGATCTCGGCACTTGGCTGAAGCTGGCGAGCCTGGCGCGCAAGACCGGACGCCCGGAGCTTTGCGCCAACACCCTGAGGCTGCTCGGTGCCCAGGTAAGCACGGCCACACCGCCGCCGTTGGACGAACGGCTGTCACCTACATGACCTCCCGTTCTCACTTTCTCGTCCGACACCGTCGCTTGATTTTGTTCTTTGTTCCTCATGATCTGGCTGTTTCGACACACACGTGTACACGCCCCCGCGCGCAAGAGTCCTTTTTTTTTTTTTTCACTTCAGACTTAATCCATGCGAAAATTACTGCTGTGATATATTCTACTCGTTTTTTTTTTTTTTCGTCTATTTTTTGCATGCTGATACTACCATTGCTTTTCCTTGGGCTTGACTTGATGGCACGGAACCCCCGTCTTGCCCTGCCCGTGCTTATAGAATAGTAGCCCTAGCCCTCCCTCTCTCACGACGACGCCATGCGGTTATGTATGCATGGCCAAGTGCGCGTGCGTGTGCCGCGCGCGAAAAAAGCACCAATTGATGACACGTATCATACACAGCAAAAGAAAAAAAGCTATCAAGCACAGGTTGTTAGACAGAGTGTACCGTAAATATCGGAGAGATGGTACCCCCGCGTAAGCGTTTTTTGTATACAGTAGGGTATTTCTCCACAACCAGGGGGCGTACCAGGGGGGAAAAGGGTAGTTTGGGAACCATCTCGTGGAGGGCTTTTTTGAGAGGTATCGGTTGGTGTTCGCACCCTCCTAGCTGCGGAGAAATACAATGTACGCTGTTAAGAAAACGCTAACGCGGGGGTGCCATCTCTCCGACTCTTACGGTATGTAGTGCAAGGATCCACCGCTGTGGTGTCTTTTCTTGGCCCTACTGCATTTGATTGTTCTTTGAAAACGTAACATACCAGGTACGTATTAACTGCGGGCCCGCTCTGTATATGGCCTCTCCCCCCCCCTGCTGCTGCTGTGACTGCCAGCCTCCTCGACCGGATGAACCGTCGGGGCCGCTCACGTACGGGCGTTCAACGGCGTCTTCGGGGGGGGGGACAGGGAGCTCCCGTCCCCGCTCCGAGAGCTCCAGCAGCGTCGGGGGGGGCGACAACAGCAACAACAACAACAACAACAACAACAACAACAACAACGCCAGTAGCAGCGGCTTCGCGGCGACGTCTGCGTCCATGTCGTCCTTCTCCTCCATGCTTTCCTCGGCCGCGGCGCAGCAGCAGGAGAACCTTAGCCTCAGCATGCACTCCAGCCGACTCCTTACCTCCGAGCTGACGGTACCTTCTGATGCTGCCGCTGCCGCTAGCGGCGGCGGCGGCGGCGGCGGTGGCGGCGGGGTTTCCACTCGAACGGCGGCGGTGGCGTCGTCTCCGCCGCCGCACCCCAGGGTGGTGTACCACATGTACAAGTACATGTGGGCGACGGGTGACCAGGAGCGCGCCCTCGGGAGGCTGGAGCGGTTCACGTCCACGCTCATGTTGCGGCTAAGACGGTAAGCTATTGGCCCGGGGGGGGGGGGGGGGGGGCCCCTTTTTTTTTTATTGGTTTGGGGGTTAAAAAATTTGCCCCCCCCTTTTCAAAGGGGGGGGCGGGGTTTTAAAAACCCAAAAGGGGGTTTCAAAAATTTTGGGAGCGGGGTTTGGGAAAAATTTTGGCCCCAAAGGAAAAACGGGGGGGAGGGGAAGTTTTCGTTTCCCTTTTTTTTTTTTTTTGAAAAAACCGGGGGGCTTGGGGTTAAACCTCCCCAATTTTTTAAAAACCCCGCGGCCCCCCCCCCCCCTTTTTTTTTTTTTTTTTTTTTAAAAAAAACCCCCGCAAAAAACGTGGGCCCCCCCCCGGGGTGCTAAATCTTTTGTTTGTTGGGGGAAAAAACCCCCTTGTTTTTTTTTTTTTTTT